ACATATCAGGACATCCCCACACACACACACACCCCTGTGAACAAACTCATTGGTGGAACATGAAGGTGGACCCTGGGACCCAGACCTTGAGCTGTGTAAAGGGCCCTCAAAAAAATGGAGCTGCTTCCCGTTCTCCCAGAACATTGATTTTTGTGACCACAGTTACAAACCGCCTCCAGAGAGCCTGTTCTACACCAGACCAGTGGAGCCAGGCAGCAGCTAGAGCCCATCATCATCCTCATCTGGTTGTAAGTAGGCAATCTAGTATATTATTCGTGGCACTAATCTCTAATTTACCTCACATTAAAGGGACACTATAGTCCCCAGAACCACTGCAGCTTAATGTAGTGGTTCTGGTGTCTATAGCCTGTCCCTGCAGGCCTTTTATTGTAAACATGGCGGCACTGCAGCACTGTGTTAGTTAACATGGCAGATCATATGTGTGGGGCATTGTGATGTCACATGGGGCCGGCAAACTTTACTTTTGCTTAGGGCGGCAAAAATCCTTGCACCGGCCCTGCAGACACTGCATCCCTGTGGGCGGACTCGGGGGGAGACGGGGGACGGACTCGGGTGCAGGCACCGGGGGGCCCAGACCTTGAGCTGTGTCAGGGGCCCCAAAATTTCTGATGGCAGCCCTGAGAGGAATCATAAGGGTCATAATGATTATAGGAATTATGTTATTCTGAATAAACAACTAAGTGAATATAGGCTAAAGTCCCAAAAAAGGGGAGGAGGGAGGGGTGGGGAAATATGAAATAAAGTAGATATGAGTAAGTTAACAGATAACTTGTGCTCAGCATGGGTTAAATCAGACTGATACATAGTAAATAACAATGATAATAAACAACAAAACAAACATATAGATATATAATAATAAATAAGACACAGACTCAGAAATGTTGCAGAAATGATATTAAACAACAAAACAAACATATAGATATATAATAATAAATAAGACAGACTCAGAAATGTTGCAGAAAAGGCTGTGGTCTTTTATTTAGTTTTAAAATAACACAAACAACACTTAATAACTTTATAACCATCTCCGGTCTTTAAACCCCCAGAGAATTAAAACATAACTCACTAGAGTTCCGCCCTATTGGCCAGAACTTCAACCAAATGATCATAAACTCAGCTAGTCCACCCCCCTTTAAATTAGGCAGGTGACCCCACACGCTGCAGCATGCAACTTATGCTGCAGCCCACCCCACCAGACCACGGCCTTATCGATCATACACTACAAATCATTATTTAAAATATCCAATCTAACATCAGACAAATGTATACCATCTTTCAAATACAACCCTTCATACTGACCCTCGATATCCACATGGCGAAAAGAAAAACCACCAATTCGTGGCATAAATTTCTCTGTGGCTTTGTTCAGCTTACGCCTAACTCTTTCTAGCGCTTTAAGTTTCGCATTGCGCAACCAAAATAATCTTGGGGTTATTTCAGACCAAATAATTAACGATCCAGGGAACATTTCTTGAAAATGTAGCAAATCAAAATTGATGGAACAAAATTACTGATTTAACTTGGCCCACATCATTACCACCATAATGAAAAATAATTACTTGTAGCCACGGAATCCGGCCGGCCCAATCTTGTAATACCTGAAAAACATCCTCTCTCAATAAACCTCTCACCAACCCAACATATCATAACAGACTCATAATCAAAACGTAAGTTCTGGCCATAAGACCTATCCACCACTCTTCTGTGTGCCCAGTAGACGAATCAATCCACACAATCACAGGTCTCGAATCTGAAACAGAAAGAAACAAGTTAGTATACTAGAAACATCAGGGTCTAACATAAATTTTAAAACTACTTGAGGACCAACGACCAACTTTCGAGACCGCTTACTGCAGCTTCCGTTGCAGCACCTATGCAAAATGAATGGGAGGTAATCCTTTTATCATTAATATCTAGACTTCCACAAGACAACTGAAGAACCTTTCGCAATTGAAATTTAGTAAGGGGAACTCCAGATTGGTGTAACAAAACACTGCCCTGAACTTCCAGGCAAATATTTAAGTAAGCCTTAACAGCCTTAACTGGACATAACCCGTGGCAAATAGCCTTCAATTGTACCTATCGCCCTTTCCCAACTGATCGGTTTTTGATCTTCTTAATAGAATACTTAGCTTTTCATTCTGTAAAACAATGTCACCGAGCTGTATACCCGAATGGCAGAAACAAGCTCACTAATCATGAAAGCTCCAAAAAATGTCAATACAAAAGCAGTCGTAAAGAGTTGGGTCTCAAATTTATCTTTACAAACGGAGCTCAGATTTTTAACTAAATCACCCAACAGCTGGAAGGAGATAGGGGACCTATTATCTTGAACTTGAGGTTTCTTTCCCCAAGCCCCTTTTAACATTTGTTGGATAATGAATTCCCTAAACACCGGCTTCTTACCCAGTACTAGAAAAAATGAAATACCTAACAGTGCTCTTTAAAAGAAAATCTGGATACACCAGCCTGAAGTTTAGTGATAACATATTTAATTCCATCTTGTACAGTAGGATCAGTAGCATCCTTATCCAATTTTTTGCATAAACCGTTGCCAATCATCCCAAGCGTTCAGATATGCTACCCAAGTAGATGCAGACAATGATAAACCCGGCAAATAATTTATCTGGGTGAAGTTAGGTCTCAGATGCTTTCTGGCAACCTCGTTCCAACTTCGCTAGGGGTGCTAGAGATATGAAATGCTTGAAATCAAAAAGAGACAAAGCATCAGCTATACGGTTACTTTTACCCTGCACATGCTTTGCTTTCACCCAGATGTTATTAACCAAGCAAATAAAAACCAACTGATTACCCAAACTACTCCTAAATTATCACAATGAAAAATGATCCTTTTGTTGGCCAATTCAGAGCCCCAAACCTCCAGGGCTACCACTATTGGGAATAATTCTATGAAGGTGATCATTCGTATCCAACCATGCTCTTCCCATGACTGAGGCCACTTAGCTGCAGCCCATTTACCGTGGAAATATATACCAAAACCTTGAGACCCAGCTGCATCTGTAAAAATATCTAAATTCCAACTAGATGTAAATTCGCTTTGCCAAATTGTGGATCCATTAAATTCACATAAAAATGAGTTCCATACATGTAAGTCCTCTTTTATTTCCCTGGAAATTCTAACATGATGATGTGGGTTTTTATAGCCAGCTATCGACCCTTGACCTATGCCTAGAAAAGGCTCTGATCATGGGCATTACCCTTTAGGCAAAATTTAACAGACCCAACACAGACTGCAATTTACCTACCGAGGTTTTGTTAACTCCTAATAAATGTGAAATCTCACGCTTCATTCTAATGACCCTGTCTTCAGGCAGACGGAACTCCATCCGTTCTGAATCAATGATTATGCCTAAAAACTGTAAGCATGTACTAGGCCAGACCGTTTTCTCTTTTTCCAAAGAAATGCCAAAATGCTGGGCAATAGCCATGAAAATCTGCAGCAAATGAAAGCACTCCCTAGAATCCGCTTTACCAATGAAAAAAAAATATTTAAATAGTGAATAACCGAGTGTAAACCAGAAACTTGTTTAATGACTTGTTTAATGACTATGGTACATAGTCACTTTGAGAGAAAAAAAACATCTGTAAACTGGCTTACTGCACCGATAGGAATTTATAAATGCGGCCATTGCAAGGCATGTCCCTATATAAAAAAGTCCAAAATGATCCAATGTACCAATAAACAAAAAGAATTTAAAATTAACCAGTTCATAAATTGCAGCACTACACGCGTCATATATGTAATTACATGCTCTTGTGGCATGCAATACATAGGGAAAACCTACCAAGAACTAAGGAGACGTACCCTTCAACATGTGAACTCAGTAAGAAATTTACATCTCAGTACCCCTGTCGCCAACCATGTACGGAATTTCCATGATGGAAACCCGAACCATCTATCTTTTCAGGTCTTAGAGAGAGTTAACTTGAACTCTAGAAAAGGTAACTTCAATCTTATTCTCCTTCAGAAAGAATCCAGGTGGATTTATGAATTTAAATGTCTTGCCCCTGGCGGTCTAAATGAAGAATTTAACTTTACCCCTTTTATCCATTCACATTAGGGTTTGTACAACTGAACTAAGTCTTTCGGGACTTCCTAAACTCACATCATTCAGTTTATATCTCAGTTACCTTTCTATACTATGGGTGGGCTATACCAACCCTTTAGTTTCTCTCTCCCTTTTTCACAGGACCATACTGGTCATTTTGGCACGTCTTTAGTTTGTTTCCATTTGGTTAAGCTAGAGAATAGCCTTTAAGTATCTACACTCCTTCTCTATGCTGGAGTATTATAAACCTCTGCGGACAACGTTTTATCCTCTTAGGGTTCATTTCCTCTTGTCCAACTTTAATCTTTTATCTGGTGGCTTTCTTCTGCATATAGCCATTTGCATCATTAGTGTTCCTAGCATAATTTTGTTAATAAATGGTTTTAGTTTTCATACTCTGCTGAGTGACTTCATAACCCTTTCTTGTCTGGGTCCATCTGTATTGATTCCCTCTACCCCAGCATTCCTCAACACTTTCTAACTGGTAATGTGTAAGTTTCCTTATTCAGCCTTAAGCGGACTCAATCATTTGATTTCCGCATTGACGCTCACATATGTATAGTGTGTCCGAATTACGGGTTTTGCATCTCAATGTGTCATTGTACATTGCTTTAAAAACCCAATAATTCGATTTAATATGTTTTTTGCAATATCTATTTATGACCTTATTTAGATATCTCTGTGATTTATCAGTATTTAAGGCATCCCACTATAGTTGTTAACTGCCATTTAGGTTGTCTGATCTGTTTACTAGGCAATCCTGAATAATATTTCATCTTTAGCAGATTGTGTGAGTCACTTTACGGATTCAGGCTCTACTATTTGCGTGCACCACCAGTTACAATTGTATTCATTAGCTACAGTTATACTACATCGTACTTGCTAGCTATTTAGATAGAGTCTCTATTGCAACTTTGTTTTGTTGCAAGGGACACATTTTAGAGGTAACCTGAAAACTTTTGAACAGGTCCTCTATGTAGCAATATTTATCCCATTTGCTAATGTTTGCTACTCGTATGTTAATTCTGTGACACTGGGCAGACGTAGACGCACGGGTTTTACATTTTCATATTTAAATCAATACCCTCTCTTTTCACTCTTGATATTCAGTGTTTTACTGACATATTTCTATTAGTGTCTCAGTAATATACGCTCCTCGTTTTCACATTTAGCATATTAGAGTCACATATACACTATGTGCATTATTTATCTCTATTCCCTTTGTGACTTGTAGCGGTTTAGTTGCTGTACCATGCACCTAAACAGCCTCCTTTTGTTTTGTTTGTTTTTTAACCATTTAGTAATATATATTGGTGTATGTACCCTTGACTCTTAGACTCTAGATATACACCCATATATTTAGTATTTAGTTTTCTCCCTTTTGTCTTTTTTCGTTTTATATTTATATGAATAAAATTTAATTTTTAATTTATTATATTTAGAGCACTCTAAGTCTCTTTTCCTTTCTGCTCACTACCTAGGTAGTTTATTATGGGTTAACCCCATTTTTTGAGTGCTTTTTTGAGCTTCCACGTCTTTTTCTTTTCTTTCTTCTCTTTAAAATCATACGACAAAGTAGGGACTCTTTGCCTTATGGAGGATTCCTCCGCTTGACCAGCTCTGACCAGCGGAGGAGCAAAGTGTGCTTCATTTCCGCTGGTCAGAGCAATTTTCCCATAATTCTCACCTTTCCTCTGTGTTCCCACGATGCTTCCTGTCATTTTACACAAAACTGACGAATTGCGTTCTAACTGAATGAGAACAGTATATTCGTTTGTTTTAGAACGCAATTCAGCATTTTATTCGGATGGGAATTTCATTCGAATGAATGAAACTCCGATCCTATTCTTGCTGTGGCTGCACCTTGCAGCCGCTTAGTAGATAACTCCCTAATTCCCACAGTATCAGGGAGTTATCTACCAAAAGGCTGAAAGACCTAAATTGGTCTTTCAGCCACATTTACTAATACTAAGTAAAGGTTACTTAGTATTAGTAAATAATATGCCCCTACTCGCTGTACCGAGAGTAGGGGCATGTCTGGTAAACAGTGAGCAGCCTGTGGCTGCTCATTGTAAAAAAACCAAAAACTATTGGCCCCCACCCCTAAACGACGGTTGGGGGCCCTAAAGTAAAATAAGGGGGGAGACCTAATGTCCCCCCCTGGCCCCCACCCCTGCGCGGTGGGTGGGGGTCATAATGATAATGGGGGGGGGGACCTACTGCCCCCCCCGGCCCCCACCCCTGAGCGGCGTGTGGGGGCCATAAAGATAATGAGGGGGGGGAACCTACTGTCCTCCCCCCTGGCCCCCACCCTTGGGCGGCGGGTGGGGGCCAAATGATAATGAGGGGGGCCTACTGTCCTCCCACCCCGGCCCCCACCCCGGCCCCCACCCCTGAGCGGCGGGTGGGGGCCATAAAGATAATGAGGGGGGGGAACCTACTGTCCTCCCCCCTGGCCCCCACCCTTGGGCGGCGGGTGGGGGCCAAATGATAATGAGGGGGACCTACTGTCCTCCCCCCCCGCGCCCACCCCTGGGCGGCGGGTGGGGGCCCTAAGTCAATTCCCACCATCCCCCCCCCCACAAGGTGACTAGGGGTCCCCAAGCCCCTAGTCACCCACCCCCCCACCCAAATACAAAGTCCCTACCTACCCCCTTTTTTTTTGCGCTCAGGATTTTTATTTTATTTTAAATTCGACGGTTATGATGGTTTTTTATTTGGCCTTTTTTGGGGCTGAAAAATGAAGATTTGAGAAAAAAGAAGACGTTGAATGGTAAGTTTAATTTTATTTTACAGGTGTTATTTTATTCCCCCCTCACTATTTTTTAGGGTGAGGGGGGTAGGTAGGGAGTGGGTGGGGGGGGTGGGTGACTAGGGGCTTGGGGACCCCTAGTCACCTTGAGGGGGGGGGGAAATGACTTAGGGCCCCGACCCGCTGCCCAGGACAGTAGGTCCCCCCCCTCATTATCATTATGGCCCCCACCCGCCACCTAGGGGTGGGGGCCAGGGGGGACAATAGGTCTCCCCCTTTATTTTAGGGCCCCCACCCGTCGTTTAGGGGTGGGGGCCAATAGTTTATTTTTAGTTTTTTTACAGTGAGCAGCCACAGGCTGCTCACTGTTTAGTGGACATGCCCCTACTCGCGGTATAGCGTCATATTGTCATTGTCACAACATTGTCATATTGTATAGTCATATTGACCCCCATAGAGTGAGAGGGTACTGGGGGGCTTATGAAGTGGTGGAGAGCACTGCCGCTTCTATCTTTACATATTACAAGGAGGGAGCTGCATGCCGGTAGTTCCCTTCTTGTAATAAACTGATCAAACAAACGAATACTGATACTCAGTGTTTGTTTGTTCGGCTGATATTTCTATTCATTCATTCGTCTGTCTGATGAATGAATGAATAGATGAAATTCCCGTTCGCATGTCCAGGTGTTTCACTGGGCATGTGCGGGAATTTCCCAGCGCTATCTAGTATGGGCAGATGATGTGTCCCACAGGGACTTCATATACCCACATAAAGATGGCGGCACCCTGAATCAAGATCAGGGCAGAAAATAAGGAATAAAAAATAGGTAATGGGGCATTTGGGGGTGACTAGGGTGTCAGTTAGATGTAGTGGAGGCAGGAGGGGGGTTAAAAAAAAAACAGGATTCGGCATGACATTGCCGCTTTAATGTGCAAACAAGTATCATCTAACCCCTGTGCATCTATTTACAGAAACTAAATAGTTGAAAACTGCAAATTATTACTGTTACTATTATAGTACATATGAGAAAATCCATAAAGTGTTACATCCATCTTTTATTTTGTATTGTAGCTGGTACATTTGGTGAAAATCTAACTGTTCACAAGGCGTCTGTGGCTGTCTCTGTTGGTCAATCCATTCTCCTGCAGACCTCGTTTACCTTGTCCCATGAAACTCTAGACTATGAATTCCAGTGGGAAACTGGAGATTATGTGATTGCTAAATACACTGCATACAATAGCTCTTTCACTCCTCAAGGAATCCCTACATGGACCAATGGAAGGACAAAAATTTACCCAAAATACAAAGAGCGAGTGGAAATTTATCCCTTGAACGGGTCTCTGTTACTGAAGAATGTCAAGCTGAATGACACAAGAATCTATATCTTTTGTGTCTTAAATGTTGAAAAGAATATACGACTTTGGGTCCATGAAAATTCTAAGACTCTTGGTAAGTGTTCTAAAGATTGAGTACAATATACTGTATAGCTTTGGTGTACCCCATGGGAAAATTAGTGGTTATTTACTAATCTCAGAGTGACTGATTTCAGACTTGCCACTTAATTGTCTACAATACAAGCTGGGTCAGGGTACCAGAAATCCTTAAGGGAAGAAACAAACTAGGTCAGGATATCAGAATAACACAAAGTCAAATATAAGACAAGGTAAATATAAAAATGTAACAGGAGAGAGTTACTAAGACTACTAATGCATATCAAGACAGAAACCACAATAGGACAAGAAGAAAGGGCCAAAATTAGAGTGAAATAGGTTCAAAATGTTTCTGATTGGTCCACATTACCTCTGCGACTCCAGAATAATTGATAATGGGCGTCACCTGGATGACGTGATCACTTTAAGGGTGGGCGTGATGTCAAAACTGTTGAATTTATAAACTTCAAGCCATTCAAACAGGCAACATCTAATATGATGCAGGGAAGAGGATTTCAGCCTCCAAGAACCAGCAGAGGAAACTGTTCACCGGGCCAAAAGGTAAGTATTCCCTGTTCAGAGTGTGTGACCTGACGAGGGGAGCTGTGCGGGCTCCAGGAGCAGATACGTTTGTACAAATGCAACATCTATAGCACTGATGCATTCATGTATGATTGCTCAGGCAAATACTCTTAATGGCCCCATTCACAAAACTGTGACTTGGACTCTGTGTAAAGTGATATCCTTGGTATGGCTGCTATCTTTGTATTGAGCAATTACACAAATTAGAATTTAAAAAAATAAAGAATATACTGTATATATAAGAAATATAAGGTAAAATTATACGAGGGCTGGGAAAATCACCAAAAGTGCAATGTATATAGCAATATGTAGCAGAAATCTAAATGTCCATGGACAATGTTTACAGCTGGCTTCCCACCCAAAGAATAAAAGTAGACGCGTTTCGACAGAAAAGTTCCAGGCTGGCTTATGTCAATTGTGTGCATATTTCTATGTACAGAGGAGCATTCATTGGCTCAGAGCAATCAACTGGTTCTCTCAGCCAATGAATGAGCAACACAGAATCGTCATCCAGCTTCGGCAGCTCTGCAGAAGCCGGATGTTGTAAATCTGAGGCTCGGTGCTCAGAGAGACCCAGGTAAGAGGGAAAACTTTTGCAAACTTATTTACCCTGCTACTGGGGAATGGTGCCAGGGTACTCCTACCATCATAACCAATAGAGCAGGCTATAGTGGATATGATGGTTGGAGTCACTCTTTAAGGCTTGGCAGTCTTTTAAAGCAAAGTTGAGGTTTCTTGTTGAGGAGGAGTGATTAATGGTTTCCTCTTGAGCTTAATGAATGAAGACAAGTGACAGCATACTGCAGAGTAGTATAGTTCCCAATGAGTCCTTGAAGAGGGTGGGACTTGTTAAAGGGACACTATACGCACGCAGACCACTTAATCTCATTGAAGTGGTCTGGGTGGAGTGTCTCTGTCCCCCATAGCCCTGCAGTGTAAAACATTGCAGTCTTAGAGAAACTATAAATGTTTACATTGCAGTGCTAAGACTGCCTCAAGTGGCTGTCTACATGCAGTCTTCATTTTACCTCCCTTCTATATATATAGGCTCAATGATCTGATCCAGTGTATTCTAGAATGTGTATTTATTATAGAAAATTGTATGTTGGACTCAAAGGGGATTGCGACAGAACCAAACAAATGTGTCACGCACAGGACATAACACTAAAAAGAGGACACAAAATTTGTAATTCTTATGATGTTGACTGACTCTGTTGCCCCACTAATGTTGCAGTATTTACTCCATCCATAAAATAGCTTTTGTTTGTGACCCTATGATGTCACACGGGAATGTCAATAATGAGATTGATGCAAATAATTTAGTTCTGTTTTATTATTCTCCTTTTTTTCCTTTGATGTTATATCTTAGTTAATTACGGCATACAATTAATTCCTAATTCCTTCATTCTTTTCCTAGGTGAAATGAAATTGCGTGGATGGAATGACACCATATTTATTTTCCGGATATTATTATGCTTCTTCTTCGTTACTTCACTCATTTTGATAACCAGATGCTTAGATGGCTCACGCCCCTTGCTCTCTGCCAACCATCAGCATTCTTAATGTACAAAGCACTATCTGCTAAACGACTCCTTTCTGTCAAGATAGATTCTGTATAAATTGAAAATAACTGAAAACAAGTATGGGACCTGAGTTGTTATAATATATTTTGTTTATCATTTTATTATATGTAGGGGTATACAAGTACTTCAGTCACACAATAAACCACTCTGTAGAATAATTATATATTGTATTATTATAATTTCTAGTACAGCACTTGTCTATTTAGAGATTTTAGTTATTTACCAAAGTGAGAATTGTCAGCAATTCAAATTGTCTTTCTGATTTTAAGTCAATCTAGTTTTTTGGTTTTTTTAAATCCCTTTAAACACTTTCCCAGGTTAAGCTCACCAGTGTATAATTCCTAAAAGAAAATAATCCTGAAAGATTAAAAACAGGTGGTTCCATTATTCCACACTTAGCTTCTTAAGTACTCATGGTTGAATACCATAAGGCCCTGGGGCTTTGTTTTTATTACTTTCTATAGTTGCTGTAACACTTAATCTTGAGTTATCCATTCACAATATAACTACATGTTGTTTGCAGCAATGCCTTTTAATAGTTAAGTCAATTTATTTCTGTTAATGCAACCCTAGTCATACCTCTCCTGGCTGTGACTGACCTAGCTACTATGAAATAAAAACATTTTCAGATCCAACTTACTTTAGAAATTTATATCTCCTGCTCTGTTAGTTGGACTTTAATCACAACCAGGAGGCTCCTGCATGGTATACAAGGCTATACAAGACTTAAGATGTAATCATTGCCATATTCGTTTGTCTGAACAGTTAGAAAGCTTGTTGTAATGTATTGGCTGGTTATTGCACAGCGAGGAAACCTACAAGGCAGTCACCATAGTGTAAAAAAGCTAATAAGGCAACACAAATCAGTGTTTAAAACCTGCACTAAAAAACAACTCTAGGGCAAATGCTTAGAAAAAAACATTTAAAATATAATAATTACACTGGGGGAAATCCATTCATTTTGAGGAAATGAATCACAAGCTATGAAATATAACCAAATTGTAACACACTAATGAACCGATAACAATATCACCGCAGATGATCACTTTGATGTGAGTGAACAAACATTGACAATATACCAGACCTTCCAGACTCATTAACTGTTGTGGTACACTCTGAGGTGAAGTATTTTCAAAGCTAAAACCGCAAAAAAAAAAGAAAAGATTCTACTTGCTGGAGACAATGTATTCCTGCATTGGTTAACAGAGATAGTTAATCACCTATAGGTCAAGTTGTTTACTCTGAATTTCATGTGGCTCAAATTAGCCCTTGTGGTATAGAATTTAAATTTTGAGTGGTACATTTTTATGCGGTTTACCCCCTTATTAGGTATTGCCTGCTGATCATTTGAGAGTTTCCCAACTTCGAGAACCTCTCTAATTTCTTTCAAATTATTTGGATTATATTCATATTAAAAATAAGGTCATAGAAACAAATGTCAAATGAAACTATCTCCTTAACAAAACAATACATATAATAAGTGCACATGCACTTAATGTGAAAAAGGTAAATTATGGTTGAACAAACATAACTCAAATTCTTGGTATTGTTTTGATTCAGAACTTGAACAATTTCCTCCGTCATTAAGGGGTAACAAAAACAATAGATTGTCCAGAAAATTTGTTGCTTGGCCACTAAAATAAATAAATAAAAAATAAATTGGTTCAATAAAAACAATATGTAAAACAGGGAATTAAGGTGGGTTTAAGTGGAAAAAAGGCTGCCTCTTTTGGCCCACTCCTGTTGTGGACAGAATATTAACATTAGTAATATGTTTATTTACTCTAAATAACCATAATCAGTATTATTCAATAATTAATTAAAATGGCCACAGCTGCTGCTAAAAGTTAAAAAGAGGATTATTGCTGGATAATAACCTTAGGCATTAATTGTGTAAAGTGTTTGTATTATCCTGTGTTTGGCAGAAAGTTCTGACCCAGCACCCAGTCACCACCGTCCTGTGCAGCATGCTCAGCAGCCTAATCATTCTGCAGCATTTAGACCTTTTACAATAGGTAACTGGCAAACCTGTGTCTAACACTCCTGTCATGGCAGTGTCTACAGGGATAAAGGGGGGCGCCTAGCTACAGTGGCCCTACCCATAGAAGGTCACCCAACTACCGTTTTAGTTGACACAGGCGCAGCCCGTAGTGTTCTCAGAGAACAAGACCTGCCTGACTCGTCTTTCTTGTCTAACATTGATGTTTCATGTTTTGGTGTTGATGGTACCCCTCGAAACAACCCACTAAGCAAGCTCTTAAGGGTGGGCTCAGTAATTCTCACATGTTTTGTTGCATCTTCAACCTGTCCCATTAACCTGTTAGGTGCTGATGTTCTTTCTTGCCTGCTATCTTCTATCTCTTTCACTGCTGATGGACAGGTACAGTTACTAACACCTCTCTCATGTAAGGATACCTCAGCTCTCTGTTCTTTACCTCCTACTTCACATAGAGACTCCACACCCAGAGAATGTAAGGGTCCATGAGTCCCCCAGTGCTATGGATAGGGTCCTGGCTAAGCTATGGTCCACAGGCCCAGATGATATTGGACGTCTTCAAGTTCCTCCTGTGTCTGTGCAGCTCTATGAGGGAGCAAACCCACCACATAGGCCGCAATATCCTTTGAAGCCTGCACAAGCCCTTGCCATCTCAAAGGGTGCTTTTGTTAAATGTGTATCACCATGTAACATTCCTCTGTTTCCAGTAAAGAAGAAGACTGCAAAAGGGGAGCCAGACCAGTATCGTATGGTTCAAGATCTCCGAGCTGTCAATGATGTCATAGTCAGGGATACAGCCATCGTGCCTAATCCTCACACACTGCTATCACAGGTACCTCCTACTGCAAAGTTCTTTACTGTTATTGACCTAGCAAATGCCCTTTTCAGCGTACCTCTGATTCCTGCCTATCAATATCTTTTGCTTTCACACATGACCGTCAACAGTATACTTGGACCGTCATGCCTCAAGGAGCACAGAATTCACCCACTCAATTTGCGAAGGCCATGTCAACAGTTCTGGACCCATGGCAAAAAGCCCACCCAGATGTGGTTCTTCTTCAATATGTGGAGGACCTACTCCTTTGTGCAGACGACCTCTCTACTGCTGAACGCCTCTCAGAAGACTTGCTCTGTTTCCAAGCTGAACAAGGCTGCAAGGCTTCAAAGAAGAAATTGCAGTGGTGCCAGCCCTTGGTGGTCTTCTTGGGACATTGCCTTTCCCATGGCACCCGTCACCTGACCAGGGACAGAGTTCGGGGAATCACTGCCATCTGCCCTCCTACAACACATCAAAGTCTTCTTGCCTTTCTAGGCCTCATCTCCTACTGCAGAACCTGGATTCCAGAGGCCTCTGTTCTCATGCAACCTCTATATGATGCACTAAAGACAGAACCTTTCAAACTTTCATCAGAAGCTCTTGCCAGTTTCTACGCACTCCAAAGAGCCATCTCCTCAGCACCTGCATTTGGCCTTCCCAACTACCAGAAGCCATTCAAACTTTTTGTCTCTGAAAAGATGGGTCATGCATCAGGAGTCCTAACTCAGTCTCATGGGTCACCCCAACGTCCTATTGGCTACTTCTCCTGCAAACTGGATCCCATAGTTCGAGGAGGCCCTTCCTGTCTATGTGCTGTTTTTGCTGCAAGTGCACTCCTGGACAAGACAAACAACATTGTTCTTGGACACAAGCTTACAATTCTGGCACCTCATGATATCACTGCAATTCTAAATCAAGTCCAGCCAAAGCACCTTACTCGTCAAAGACATCTCCGCCTTCCATCTACTTTGCTTCTCCCTGACAATGTCACTTTGCAAAGATGTTACTCTCTGAATCCGGCCACTCTTCTGCCACTTCCAAAGGGGGGAGTGCCACACTATTGGTACAGTCTTGACATCAATCCTGATGTGCTTTTTGAATTACAAGTACAGAAGCCCACAGTCCCACATGATGAACAGCCTCAGGACTATGTACATTGCACCCTGTGGTTCAGAAATACCCCAGGACCAGATCCACACTATGAGGAAGAACTGTTCAGACTGGTGGAAGTACGCCTCATCATGACAAATCTATTCAGTGATTCTATAGGTAACAGTGTGATCTTGGTCCAGCTACCCATGGAAATGACTCCTCACATGTATCATCATTGGGAGGTGGCAGTTCCTCATGTTTCTTTCACTAAGTCCCCAGAAATCTCATGGAAGGTACTTGGCCCATTGGCAAAAACATGGAGTACAGCAAGTCAAGATCAACTCTCAATGAAAAGAGTCACCAAGAGAACTATGAATTGCAAAACAGTTGGCCACCCACAATACCACACGGAGATAAGTGAAGATACTCCTCCTACAGAGCTGGACCCAGATGCTCCTCATGATTGCTTTAAACAGATGGAAATGGAAACAACACATCTTCCGACAGTGCATGAAGTTGCTCTACCAGATCCTGATTTCACCCGGTTTGTGGATGGTTCTAGGTTTGCGGACGAGAAAGGAAGGTACCATACTGGATTTGCTGTTACTACAGAAGATCGGGTACTTCAAGCATCTTCACTTTCTTCATCTATGTCTGCTCAAGAAGCTGAACTAACAGCCTTCACGGTGGCTTGCAAAATGTCGGAAGCAGCGGCGTATATACCGCGGGCGCAGGGGTCGCAGCTGCGACCGGGCCCAGCACTCCAGGTGGCCCGACCGCCGTGCAGACCCTTGCGACCGGGTACCAGGCCTGCTGCCACATTTTGCGGCCCCGGCCTGCGCGGCAAACCGCCGGGGCCGCACATGGAGGGGTCCATCGGGTGGCCCATGCTGTCAGGGCCACCCGATGGATATGGATTGTGAGGGGGCCCAGTCTGCACTTGGCGCTTTAAGAGTGCGACCGGGCCCCCAGGGCACATCTTTCACTGCACTATTGACCAAGGAAATCTGGGCAGCACGGGGGGGTGACCCTTGCATTCCACACACCCTATCACCCACAGAGTAGTGGTAAGGTAGAAAGCATGAATGGCACTCTGAAAGCCAGGATGCTTAAGATGGCCCAAGAAACTAACCTACCCTGGCCAGAAAGTCTACCCATAGCTCTGTTTAGTTTGAGGTACACTCCAAGAGGGAAGTTCAGCTTGTCCCGATATGAGATTTTGTTTGGTTCAGCTCCCAGGCTAGGCTGTTATTTTCCTCAGCAGCTCCAAATTCAGTCAGATGCAATGGTTGATTATGTAACTGCTCTCTCTCATGCCTTGACCAAAATCAACGCGCAAGTGTTTTCTTCCATTCCAGGTCCAGAGTCTGATACAGGCACCCATAAGTTTCTCCCTGGTGATTGGGTTCTGGTTAAGAAATTCCTGAGAAAACATATTCTTGAGCCAAGATTTGATGGTCCATTCCAAGTCCTTCTAACTACATCTACCTGTCATGACTGCTAGTGTGGTCCAACACGCAGAAACTATGTAAACATATACATATTAAAAAAAAGGAACTAAAAGGACAGAGCGTAAACCGGACATTAGAATGGCCGGACTAATACGCTAGAGATAGAGAATGGTCAAAGGGAAAGCCAAGGTCAAGGAAGCCAGAAATACTCAGATACTGTTTAAACAAGCCAAGTCAGGGGAACCAGAATTCGGAATAACCAGGGAAAAACCAAGATCAGGATACCAGGAAATCAGATTCACAAGGATAAATGCACTCTTGGGAACCAGGAACAGGAAACCACGACAGGGCAAGGAACTGGAGTGAATTAGGGATTTAAATATCCCTCTCTGGGCTCTGACTGGTCAGACGTCACGCGCACATCCGTATAAATTTGAGGGGCGGAGCGTGTGATGTGCGCGACCACGTGGTCAGCGCCATCTTTGATTTGGGCGCAACGCCCAGAAGACGTGGAGGAGTGGTTCCTGGCTCGCCGACAAGCAGGTAAGCTCGCAATATCGGCGAGGTCGTGCTGGTCGGGCATGGCTGCGCCATGCGGCAGGCCGGAAGCCGCAACAGTACTCCCCACTCGAATACCGCTCATTCTTCAGAATGTAAGATACCCACTGAGACAGTGATCGGCAGGGTTCCGTGCGTGATCAGAGGCTGGGTAAGAGGTCTCCCATCGATAGCCTCTACTGCTATGGGTCTATCTTTCTGCCTTAAGGGCAGGAGATGTTTGGCATAGAAGTCCTTGTCTAGAAAATTCTCCGCTGCCCCAGAGTCAATCATAGCCTCACACTGTACAGCGGTTTTCTTTTAAGACAAAGTAATTCTTATAAGGAAACGGTTCTTAGTCAATTTAGGGGACATATACATCACACCTAAGGTCAGTCCCCGAACGTGCCTTAGGTGCGCAAGTTTTCCAGCCGAACCGGACATGAAAATCTTTGATGTCCCCTTTTGCCACAATACAAACACGCATACATATAGTATATAGTGGGTACATATACTGAGGCCATGACCTCATTGTAGCTCATACATAGAGCCTATAGAGGGTACATATACTGAGGTGGTGTCCTCACAGTAACTCATACATTGAGCATATAATGGATACATATACTGAGGCGGTGTCCTCACAGAAACTCATACATAGAGCATATCCACTAATACATCAAGCATACCAATTCATACATTAGAGCATATATTGGAAACATACCGAAACTGTACCACAACCAGATCATGTACAGATATAAAACCTGTCATATACATGTGTGTACTTCAATCAGACATCCAGGAAAGTTTTCTTACCTTGGATATTAGTCTGTCTTCAGGACTGTGGAATTCCAGCAGACTTTATACCGCCAGGATATCCATTATCAGCACTCTTTTGCACAATGCCTCCTTGCATTATCAGCCCTCTTTTGCACAATGCCTCCTCGCATTATCAGCACTCTTTTGCACCAAGCATCCTTTCATGTATAAACTTACCTAAATGCTCACCACACAAACCTCCTAAATGTGACCTATTTGTTACAAGGAAGCCTAATGTACGCAGCTGGGAGGGACTGAAAGAACAGAGACCCAGGTGCCTATACTAGTTTTAATCTAAATTACTAATGCACTTACCTGAACAGTTGCAGGCCTGTGTTTCAGCGGCAAAATGGGGATTTGAACAACTGACAGCCTAAACTGTTTAAACTACCTCACCGGTCCACAGCAGCATGGAGGGAGGCAGCAGAGAACCCGGGCTAGAGTTCACTCTCCACTGAACCACCAGGGAAGACAGCAGGACTGAGATATTAACTAATCTGCCCCCACCTCCACCCAAACATACAGCACACACACACACACAGCACCTACACACAGCACACACAGCCCACAAACAGCACCCACACACATACATCGCCCTCGCACACACAGCACCCACACACACCCAGCACACTAACAGCATCCTTACAAACACACAAAACCCACACACAACACCCGCACAGCACCCACACACAAACAGCACACTCACACACAAACAGCACCCTGACAAACACACAACACCCACACACAGCACACTAACAGGACCCGAACAAACATGCACACACAAACACCCTCTCACACACACACACACACACACACACACACTGCCAGTTCCCTCACACACAGCACACAAACAGCACCCTCTCACACACATACACAGCAGTGTATATATATATATATATATATATATATATTTATACATATACACACATACATATACACATGGCGTGTGTTTGTGCTTTAGGGTGCAATAGGCTGCGCACACCTATGCACAATCTATAGGCTGCCCCCCCATGCCTCACTCCCCTAATCTATAGGCTGCTACCCCCCCAGCCTCGGTCCCCTAATCTATAGGGTGCTGCCCCCCCCCCAGCCTCACTCCCAATTATAGGCTCCCAGCCTCCCTCCCTAAGGCTGCTGCCCCCATCAGGCTCACCCAGGCTGCTGCCCACCCCCAGACTCACTCTCTAATATATAGGCTGCTGTCCCCCAGCCTCACTCCCTAATCTATAGGCTGCTTCCCCCCAGCCTCACTACTTAATCTATAGGCTGCTGCCCACCCCAGCCTCACTCCCTAATCTATAGGCTGCTGTCCCCCCCAAAAAAATCTATAGGCTATCTCAAACCCTCCCCCCCATCCCTCACTTACCTGATCTGTAGGCTGTCTCTGGCTGCACGTGTTGCTCCCCTGCAGTTTCAATCAGCAGAGAGAAGCAGGGATAAGCTGCAGCTTCCTATCCCTGTCTCTCTCCATACACCTACTGGCCGGCGCCGGTATTGCAGTTCATTTTAAATCTCACACGAAAAATAACAGAACAAGCTGAAAAATCCAGGGGGGGCAAGTGCCCCACCTTGCCCCCCCTGCGGACGCCCATGTACATAGACTTGGTATACCCAGGTAGTCACCTTATGGAAGTGCTGTTTGCTGGGTCTTCAGGGATAAAGGCTTAGACTCGGCTGGGCCTCATGTATGCTGTGGACCTCTGTCATTACTTCTGAGAGAGAGATAGGTTAGACTCCTGATTGCTGAAGTAGGTACTCAGGCTGGCAACTTTCACAGATGTGCTGTTTGCTGGGTCTTCAGGGGTAAGAGGCTGAACCCTGGCCTGGCTTCCTGTAGGCAATATATCACATTCATCCCCTGAGTGGGTACCCAAGCTGGCCTGTTGCTGGGTCTTCAGGGATAAGATGCTGAACCCTGGCATGCAGTGCACCATTTGCATCCCCTGAGGGAGAGGTTGGGTCCGACCCCCGGTCACTAAAGGGGGTACCCAGGTTTGCAGTATTAACAATAGTGCGTTGCTGGGTCTTCAGAGCTTAGAGGCTAAACCCGGCAAGGCTACAAAAATATTGCCTGGTGAGCATAAAAGAAAATCTAGGCCTGCATAAGCAGACTCCTTCCAAACTACTGTGCAGGACAGGAAAAAAAAGACTGCCTGATGGGAAGGGGGAGGATCTATTTATACCAATGTCAGAGTTCTAGTTCCTGTCCTTTCTGCTGTGAGGGGAGGAGCTAACCCATGAGTAAATGCTGCCATGAATAATTATCAGGAAATACTGTCCATGCTAGATTAGAGTTAATATTCCGCAGACAAACATTGGTGTTTGCTGCACGAGTAGAAAGAACGAACAAACGTTGCCGTAGAGGATTAGCCATACGTTAGCTACAGTGGATTCTTTTTATGTCTTGTGAAAAAATTCTGGCACTTCTTAGAAAGTATACTTTGATCCATTCTGTGTTCATTAGACAAAAATCATTTTAACTCTGATCTGGAAAGATTCTCCAGCTTGGGCCTTGATTTAATATTATTTGATAAGCTTTCCAAATTATTTAATATTTTCTGATAAAATAATAATAATAATAATAATAATAATAGTAATAGTAATAATACAAATTCAGCATATTACAATATTAGAAATATGTTACATATAAATATACATATCAGTGCAGTGGTTCCCAAACTCTTTAGGTTCAAGGCGCCCTTAACATTTGAATATTTTTCCAAGGCTCCTCAAGTCACAACAATTTTCTAGGTTGTGTATATGTGCAGCGCTGCAGCATATACTGGGCCCCTGTTCAGCAGAAATGTTTGCCATTCAGACGCAGATCCAGAACTTAATCTTGAGAGGGGCACTGGTAGATTATTTAAAGAAACAATCCAGGCACAATAACCACTACAGCACTCTGTACTGGTTATGGTGCCAGGAGTGCCTTGGTGCCCCCTGTTTAAAAACAGTTTGACAACTTACGTGGGATCTACCAGGATAGGGGCTGTAATAGGGGTTAGGGGCAGTAGTGTGTGAAGGGAGCTGCAGCGTGTGAGTGTGTAAGGGGTGCAGTGTGTGTGTGTGAGGGGTGCAGCGTGTGGGCGTGTAATGGGTACAGTGTGTGTACGGGGGTGCATTGCGTTTGTGAAGGATGTAGTGTGTGTGTGTGTAGAATGTAGTGGGTGTGGAGGATGTATTGTGTGTGTGAAGGATGTAGTGTGTGCATGATGGTGCAGTTGTGCGCGAGTGGTACAGTGTGTGGAGGTAAAGAGTGTGTGTGTATGGGAGCAGTGTTTGTGTGTATGGGAGGGCAGTGTGTGTGTGTATAGGGGAGGCAGTAGTGTTCGGGAGTTTCTGTATTTGAATTCAGTTCCATGAGATTCATGCCCAAACACCGCTGCCTGCTTTCATTCAAACAAGATGGCCGCCACCTCGTGGTTGCTCATAGGAATAGTTTGGTTAACTCATAAAGCATATTTAAGGGGATTATTGATAAAGTGGCAAGCACAAAAAAAGAAACAGAGAGGTAAAACCCAAGAGAGCTTCACATTGAGCTAAGTAAGTTGGATAGACATAAAAAAAATACTCCAAACAGTATAACTATGACTAAAATTCGGGAGATACAATTACCAATAAAAACTATAAAGCAGAACTTGGTTGATAAGTCCATCTGGGCCCTGCAACAACGTCTCTATTACTGTGGTATTAGGGTGCGTAGAATGATGGCAAATAAGCTAAAATGAAAAGCAATAAACAATAGAATAGATATGTTAACTGACAACAAGGAATGCTTTTCAAGCCCAAAGATATAGCGAAGACCTTTGAGAAACAGTATTATGATTTGTATAATTTAAATAAAACTGATCAATCCATAAAAAAAGGAATATTCTGAAATTATTGGACAAAATTTATCTTCCCAAAATTTCACAAGTAGAAATGGTAACGTTAAACAAAGAAATAACAGAACAAAAAGTAGTCTGGGCAATCTCAAAATTGAAACTTGGTTCTGCGCCGGGCTCGGATGGACTTGTCAACCAATATTATGTTCTATATCAAAAAGAAATTTCCAAAAATGTATGTGAAACATTAAATGAAATTAAGAATAATGATTGGGGCCCATCAGAGATGCTAGAAGTACAGATAATAACTATACCTAAAACCAATAAACAAATTCCAGAATGCAGAGATTTTAGACCAATATCTTTACTAAACTCAGATATAAAGATATATGCTAAGATCTTAGTGGAAAGATTGATTCACATTATACATAAGTTGATTGCCCCGGGCCAGACGGGCTTCATACAAGGCAGACTGAGACCCGACAATATAAGGAAACTTTTGAATATAATTTCATATTTGAATCATAAAAAAAACAGAAGTAATATTCATGGCACTCGATGCAGAGAAAGCATTTGACAGGGTGGATTGGGACTTTATGTACCTCACCCTGTCAAAATATGGCCTAGGCGAATTCGCCTCTAAGCCAATTAGTGCTTTATATGTTTATCCATCTGCAAGAGTTACTGGCCAAGGATTTTGCTCTGATAGATTTGGCATCTCAAACTGCACCAGGCAGGGGTGTCCGTTATCCCCATTATTCGATTGCTTTTCGAACCCTTAGCAATAGCTGTGAGGGAATCAGAGCAAGTATCTGGTATTGAGATAGATCAGAAAAAAAACGTAATCTCTGTCAGGATTACAGAATGATCCAGCACGTAGAATTGTGAAACACAGAGGACTGATAGGTAACGTATACCGGACCTTAGAATGGCCCGACTAACGTACCAAAGAATAGTCAGGAATAGCCGAGGTCAAGGGAAACAGAAAGAGACACAACGATTAGGAAAAGCCAGGTGTCAGGGATGCCAGAAAACAGGGAAGTCAAAAAAATGCCAAAGTCAAATAACCAGAATTACCAGAATCAATAACGCACTCTCGGACAACCACAAGGGAAACCACGACAGGGCACTGACAGGATGAGAACTGGGCCTAAATACCCCTCCTCTAGATCTGACCCCAAGCAGTTACCAGGTTTTCCATTTGCATAATTGCTGCTCAGCGTTAACCCTTCTGTGGATTTGGTTGCTGCTCGGCACACCTTTTCCTGTGTGGACAGTAAAAGTCATTAACCACATTTTTATAAGCGGATGAATACGTGACAATCTCTTTATATGCTGACGACGTAATAATAACCATTGAAAAGCAAGAAAAATAATTGAAAGCTTTACAGGAAATTATTGCAAAATATAGATATCCAATTATAAATTAAATATAAAGAAATCTAAAGCTATGACCTTCAATATCATAAAAAATAAGTTGGAGTCAATTATCGCATAATATCCATTTAAATGGCAACAATCGATAACCCACTTAGGTATTACCATAATCACAGATATAAAAAAGATGATTACCTGTATGAACTTTCTAGACATGGGAATGAAAATAATCAAACTAAGCGTGCGTATCTATTACTCAAATGAGATAGACATGGTGAGATTAATAAAATAGCTTAGTATACCCCCCTAGAATGCTATAGAAACATATGATTGACATATCACAGATTTCCTACATGAGTAGTAGCTGAGAAAAAATTTCATCTGGAGTGTGCTGGTGCAGATTGAGAGGAATGAACAAAAGTAGATGTGTTAAAGAAAATGGTAAAACAATAGCATTCTATGATGAGAGTCAGCAGACTTAGGTATAGTCTCAATATGGCGGTCAGCCTATTCCCAGTATAGAAAAGTTGTAGCCCTTCTTAGCATGGGCATGCAGGCTCAGTGTCGAAGGTGACAGCTTCAGGTTTTGAGACCTCTGTTGCTTTCCTCATATCTCTGCTTATTGCTGCTCATGTCTCATGCTGGTTATAGAGACTGGAGTGTTCGAAGCTTGCCGTTTAACTGCTTGTCTTGTGTGCGCCAGTGCCAGCGCTGCCTTTGGCGTAAAAAGGCTTTTTTATAGATGTCACAGGGTGGCTCGGGATGGAATGGAATGGCTGAGAGAGATGGCTGAGAGGGAGCTTCCATGGTCTCAGGTAGGGCTGTCTTATCCCGCAGCTTCTTCCAGAAAGCATCAAAGAGGGCTTCTAAGTGTGGAAGCATGGTAGGTTGCTCCCCTCTAGGAACCTGGGTACTCATTGTCGATCACCATCTTGCAGTGGCATCTCTAGGATTAATTTTTCGGGGGGGCACATGGAGGGCCAGTGACAAAAGTAGGGGGGCACATTTAACCCCGCCCTCGCCGCAGTTTGACCCCGCCCTTGTCGCATGTTAAGCCACGCCCCCGACACAATGTGTTTTGTTTTTTTAATAATACCTGGTGGAGGATTCATTATTTTCCACCAGGGATTATTAAAAAAACAAACACATTATCCTTGATACAGTGCCATAGTTGCCAACATTTGAAAAAAAATTTCCAAGGACATTTTGCAGCACAGCTATCAATTACTGTCTGGGTATAATATCCCTGGACAGTCAGTGCTCTCTGTATAATACAGGGTTGTGTGTGTATAATAAATTGGGACACTTAGTGCTCCCTGTATAGTGCTGCTCTCTGTATAATACAGGTCTGTTTGTGTATCATATCCCAAGACAGAGAGCAGCACTATACAGGAAGCACTGACTATCCCGGGATATTTTATACACACAGATCTGTATTATACAGATAGCTGAGCATATACCCCAATCTCTAGACTACTAGTACCTGTCAACAGCAGCTCCCAGACGCTGTAACAGGGCTAAAGTGTGCGGCAGCTCACACAGATTATTCAGCGGTAAAGTGCACTCGCTGGCAGAGCCAAACTGGGAATCCCTGGGAATCCAAAGCAGCCCTGGAAAAAAAACGTATGCCATTCCTACAAGTCAAAAATATATATATATAGTACAGTAAGCACACAAGCTCACTGACATGCGCAAATAGGCTTACTGACAGACAAAACTCTCTGACTCACACACAAGCTTACTACAGACACTCACTTGTATAAACAGAAGGCTCACTACAAAGAAGTTCAGGGACACACACACAAGCTCACTAAAAACAAGCTCACTGACACACACATGCTCACTAAATAGAAGCTCACTGACACACACAAGCAGTACCATTTTAACAGAGTTAAGGGCCCCTGGGCAAAGCAATACACTGGGGCCCTTCCTACACAACAACTCACAGGAATTTTAATTATTGATAGACTGCAGAGTCCATACACACACACAGACTGCTGAGTCCATACACACACACTGTTGAGTCCATACACACACACACACTGCTGAGTCCATACACACACACACAGATTGCTGAGTCCATACACACACACACACACACACAGATTGCTGAGTCCATACACACACAACACACAGACTGCTGAGTCCATACACACACACACACACACACACACACATTGAGTCCATACACACACACACACACAGATTGCTGAGTCCATACACACACACACACACACACACAC